ACAGCTTTCCGACCACAAGTGGCGTTCGTCAGGGTTGTCCGATTTCCCCACTTTTGTTCAATTTCGTGGTGGACTGCATCATCGAGTGTTCCCTTGCGGAATCTCAAGATGTAGGCGTTAAAGTGCTGCCTGGTGAAAGAATAGCTCATCTTGCTTATGCGGACGATATCGTCTTGCTTTCCGACGATGCTGCGGCGACAGAATGAACCCTGAATAGCCTGTCTAGAGTGGTCCCATTATTTGATATACGCTTCGCACGTTCAAAGTGCAAAGTGCTGCTGCAGGATCACCAGCCACTTGATGACTCCTTGACCCTTGCTAACGAGGAACTCGAGGTGGTTGATCAATTCAGTTATCTCGGCAGCTGTATCAGCAACGATGTGCGCATAGAAACTGGCATCAGCTCACGCATTGCAAAGGCCAGAGCTGCCTTCTTGAACCTGCGGCATCTTTGGCGACAGAAGGGAGTTTCCCTCTGCCTGAAAGGCCGTGTATACAAGGCCACAGTGAGGGCCGTTCTGCTCTATGGTAGTGAGATTTGGCCCCTTCGGTCTGAAGATCTGAGGCGCCTTCAAGTCGCTGATGATCGTTGCGAAGCACTGCTGGTGTCGGATGGCACCAGCGTGTCCGCAACGATGATGTGCGTAGGCGAGTACTAGGTGGTGATAATCATGCTAGCACCCTAGAACAACAGATAGAACTGAATAAGTTGCGTTGGCTCGAACACTTGCTACGTATGCCTGGTCATCGCGTAACTAGGAGGGACTTGTTTGGTCTAGCAGGTGTAGGGTGGTGTAAGGCTCGAGGTGGACAGAAGTTGATTTGGCAGCGGGAAATGAAGTCACTGACGACCAAACTGGATGCCGTTGGTCCGTCTCGCCTTCCGGACTGGAGTCCAGGTGATTCGCCTTGTGCTTGGCTCGAGACCTTACAGGGACATGGTTCGCAACCGACACCAGTGGCGTGTCTGCTGCCGTCTCCTAATCGGATTGCCTGTTTAAAGTGTGTTTGGTGCTGAGTTATCTGCGGGGTAATGGCTGATTATGACGCGTGGCAGTGAAAGCCACAAGGAAGCTGTCTCGCCGATGCTGCCTTATCTTTGCACTACAGCCAGCTGTTTGTGACGATGTGTGTTAACATAAGGTGTAAGCGCCTTGATCCTGAATGTCTGCTTAGGGCATTAATGTTTTCAGGTAAGTCCCCCTTCTCGCTCTCTTATTATTTATTTCATAGGTCATCATGGTTGTATGGCAGCGAAGCATCAGTTCAAATGGCTGATGTACGGTTGTTGCTGATGATGATGAGCTGATAAGGACATTTCCACCAGCCATATCGACCAATATTCTAAACCTCCACCCAACACATCATCAATCATAGAACTTTGAAGCTGATTAGCTAAAGTATCCTTACCATTATCACGCTTCTTTTCATGTTCTTCCGTGATTATGCGTGGGAGCATTAAAATATAACAATGGGAGTACATGCTTTTACTTCTTTATGGCATCCAAAGACGACGGGACATTAACTCCGAACTCCGCACCTAACCAGCGCTCCTACAAATTGGTGACCCCCACGTGAACTCGGTGGTTTGGGCACAGCCAAATTAATTCGGTGAGTCGTGATCATTTTCGTGGTTTTTTATTACTTTCAGGTATGCGAATATGACCGACCATCAACTAAGGTAAATTAAGATCGTACTTACTGGTCGTTTACCACCATTTTGGATACAATATCCCCAGGTTTGGTTTCTACAGGCCGTCATATTTTGAGATTAATCGCATACATAAGGATGCCTTAAAATTCATCATGTGATTTATTGACTCCCACCAGAATTATTGCTCCTGGCGCAAGATATCCTGAAAACAAGCCCTAGGTAACAACAACTAAAGGACTTGTCAGTGCGCGAGCTTAGGCGTAGCAAGCGTAAGAGAGTGCAACGTCTAGTTAATGACGAACAGTTAGGCGATCGCACCTCCACGCAACTATTGCGAGCCATGCAAGCTCTAGTAGGTGAAAATCCTATGGAGAATTCCATCTTCAAGCAGCTATTTTTGCAACCGCTCGCTACCCATATCCAACAAATGTTGGCTAACTAATAATAATAAAATAAGAACTGAAAGATTTAGCCATTATGGCTGATAAAAGCATGGATATACAAGCACCTACGATCTCAACTGTATCGCCTCGTGCACCTAACGACTCACTCGTGGAAGCCATACGGTCCTTGCAAGAACAAGTGACCGCAATCACCACTGCCAAACAAAGGAGCAACTCCCGACCAAACGTACTCGGAGTGTTAGTCGTCCCCGTGGCATATGCTGATACCACTGGATATTCCGTAACAGGACTCGGAAATGCACAAAGCTGTGTCTGTTTTTTACTATGGGAAACGTACACGCCAGCTCGTAATGGCGAGGACGCAAGCTGGCATATGTGAGTCAGGTCGCCTATTTTACTTGCGGGACGTAAGATCTGGCATGCGATTCCTCGTAGACACTGGTGCCCAAGTTAGTGTGGTTCCCCCACGTCCAGAGGACCTGAAGCACTGCTCGGTATACAGCCTGCAGGCAGTAAACGGCACGCCCACCCGAACCCATGGAGAAGGTTCTATCAACTGAACCTTGGTCTCCGCAAAACTTTTCCTTGGATTTTCATTGTAGCCAAAGTGCCTACTGCAATCCTAGGCCTCGATTTTTTCCAACATCATGGCGTTATCGTAGATCCCAAACGCTGCCAGACTATCGATGGCCTGACGCAAGTATCACAGGCTGGTTTCAAAAGCTCCGTTGTATTTGAGTCCGCAGCTTGTCCCACCTCAAGCCACTCTAATGTATTTGGATCTGTTAGGAGGATTTAACAGCATAACAAAGCCTGGATACCAACCTGGTGATGTTAAACATGAGATCGTTCATAGGATAACGACAACAGGTAGTCCGGTATTCCATCGACCACGGCGAGTAGCTGCGCGATTAGCGCAGCGAAGGCTGAATTCGACCATATGTTACAGTTACGTATAATACGTCTATCCAGCAGTATGTGATCATCGCACCTACATATGGTCCCAAAGGACAAATATGGAGATTAGAGATTTAATAGGGATTACCGGGGGACTGAACGCCATCACTTTCCCAGACAGGTATCCCATTCTGCTACTCCAGGACTTCTCATCTTCGCTGTACAGAAAACAAGTGTCCAGCAAGATAGATCTAGTGGGGGCAAATCATCAAATTCCTGTGCATCCTCAAGATGTTCCTAAGACTGCCGTCACCACTCCCTTTGGCTTATTTGAGTACTTGCGAATGCCATTTGGTCTCCGTAATGCAGCTGACATTTCAGCGTTTTATGGATCAGGACATTCGCGGGCTCGATTTCGTTGTCTATACTGACGATGTCTTGGTTGCAAGTTCTAACGATGAACATTTGCGCCATCTGCGACCACTTTTCGAACGATTTGCGCATTATGGGGTAGTGTTATCCATGCCACCAAGAGTCAATTTGGTGTTGATACGGTAGACTTTCTTGGTCACCGTGTTTCCTCGCCAGGAATTACACCCCTACCCGATAGTGACCACCATCACTGAGTACCAAATCCCTGATTCCCTTAAAAGATTACGCCGGTTTGTGGGCATGGTTAACTTTTACAGACGATTCATTCTGCACTGTTCCGAGTTAGCCCAGTTACTTACCGAGTTACTCCAATTGGATGCTAAGTCATTCAGCTTTACGGAATCAGCTAAGCAGGCATTCAGTGAGCTAAAACATCAGCTAGCAACTGCAACTCTTCTCGTCGTGCATCTAGACCTTAAGGCGTCGTTACAGTTAACGGTGGACGCCTCAGATGCAGCAGTAAGCGGTGTGCTACAACAACGACAGAGAGGTGAATTGTATCTGATTACCTTTTTCTCTAAGAAACTACAGCCTGCCGAACGACGCTATAGCAGGTTCAGCAGAGAACTCCTAGCTACTTACCTCAGTGTGCATTTCTGACATTAGTTGGAAGGACGTACATTCACAGTATTCACCGATCATAAGCCGTTAACGTATGCATTGCGTTCCGCTTCTGATCGACTTCCCCCACGAGAAACTAGACAATTAGATTGCATCTCCCAATTCACCTCAGACGTTCGGCATTCATCCGGTGTGAACAAGGCCGTAGCAGACGCCTTATCACGGACGGAAATCAACACCTTATTTGAGCATTTCCCTGTTGATCTCTAAGAACTAGCCACAGCACGACACCAGGATAAGCAATTTCTCCAACAACTGAAAGAAACCAATCTACAGATAAACCCATCCCGCTGCCTGAATTCGGATGTTTCGACGTGTGACGAATGGACAGGAAAGCCAAGACCTGTAGTTCGACCGACCTATCGGAGAATCATCTTTGATTCACTATATGGTCTGTCTCAGCTAGGCATCCATGTAACGCGCAAACTCATTTCTGATCGTTTTGCGTGGCCAGCACTGAACAAAGACGTGCAAACCATGGTGAGAAACTGCCTCCCATATCAACGTTCAAAAGTGCACCGCCATACACAGGCACCGCTTGGCAATTTCACTGTTCCTGATGCTCGTTTCAGTCACGTGCACACTGACACCGTCGGTCCACTGTCGCCGTCGAGTGGATATAACTACTTGCTTACTTGTATCGATCGTTTCACTCGTTGGCCCGTGGCAGCCTATCAGCCAGTGAAAAATCTGGCTGAACGTTTACATTATTACCCTTAGTTTTGTATGTAAAGCTTGCGTTCCTCCGGGGTAGAAAGAACCACGCGAAATAGTCGGGGTCGCACATTTGGAGTGCCGGTAGCGACGTTCTTCAGTCCGGTCAGCATTCTGACAGTGACAACAGGGAAGTCAGACGGAAGCAGCTTGGTGACGCACAGTTTGAGGCAATTGATATCACCCTGCTATACGGCAGTCCGCAGAGTCTGAAATAAGTCCCAATTGAACATGATTCGGACTGCCAAAGGACTGTGGGAAAAATGGTTGCAACGTACCCTCTATGCCTCTCCAGGTGGGGCTAGAACAGGGCAGGATCCAGAGATGAAACAAACTTCCGCTTAACGAACGTCCTGTTTCGTGCGCCAGTAAGCGAAGAGCCCCCAGAACTGCGATTTGATAGAACGTTTTTGATTCTATAACGGAAAAAAGAGAAGCAAGTGCAAGACCACCAATACACTTTCACGAAGTCATGAGAGTAGAGAGGCAGTTAGCAAATCTCACAGAAATTCTGGGAACAGGGCCAACCAATTTTTGTCTAGGCTCCGTTTAAATTCCTCTAGTTTCACATTCCAATGAAGCAGATGGGTTTATTCCAAATAGGCAGAACCCGGTTTGCCTAGATCTTTGATATTTCAATTTCATGCAATGGCCTCGCAAGTTGTCTGATATGGCTGGTTCAAAAAGATCGGTGTGTCTGAGCCAACTGAGATGCTGCATGATTTTGAACGTCTATTAAGCCACCACTCAATCTGCGTCTCCTCATTGAAAACAAACCTAAGTTAGCTAACCGATCTCCATACGATAACCAATGCTGATCTTCTGTCATTCGAGTGGCCAGTCTGCATATCCTCAATAAAAATAATACCTTACTTCAGGTAGGGTTCCCAGGCCTGAACACAGTATTCCAGATGTGGCCTGACCAAAGCTTTGAACAAGGGGAGAAAGACCTCTAGCTTGGTACAACGCAGCCCTCTGAGACGAAATAATTCCTATCGCGCTTTGTTGGCCGCATGCCTGCACTGCGCCGAGAGGTTAAAGTCACTCGTCACGATGACACCTAGATCGCGTGCCTCGGTGACACACTGCAGTGTTACAGACCCATTAAACGTATGCACAGCAATCTTCATCAAATGGAGTTAGGATTTGACATTTGGTGGTGTTCAGTGGTAAGTCCCATAAGTGTGACCAATTTAGAATGGTAGCAAAATTGCTAGACAGCGAAGCTCTGTCACCCTTGCTAACAAGCTTCAAGTCGGCAGCAAACATATAGGGGGTCTTCAAGTAGAAGGACCAAGTCATCCATAAAGAAAAAGAACAACGGACCGAGTACTGGTCCCTAGGGAACTCCAATATGAGCAGTGTCTGTGTTTGAAGTAATATCACCAACGACATTGAAGCAAATGTTGGTCGCTCAGGTTGTTCAGTTGGTTGTCTGATTGTTCGCTGAGCTCGGCAGGTTGACTGCAAACGTTTCGTCATCACTCGAGGTGACATCGTCAGTGCGCGTGTATTTAGCAGAGTGGCGCGTACGAAGCGTCAGTGAGTGTGAGTGATCGATCTCCTAGCCGCTAGTCTGAGTTTGGATTGTTCGACGAGCACATGACCATAGAAATCGATCTCTGATTCTCACCTCGTAGTGTACGCGCGTGACTCTTCGCTTGTCGTCGTTTGATGCAGTAGTCTAGTGCTCTGTTCCGTTAGATTTCTTCTACTAATTCAGGGATCTTTCATCCGTAGTGCTGTATATATAGCATCTATTTCAACGTGGCGGTTTACTGAACTGTCGGTAGAATACCATGTTTCCAAGAATTCCCTAGCTTGCCTCGAATTTCCACGGGCTAGGATCTTAACGTTCTCTAGATCGAAGTGGTGGCCTTCTTGGTCTTCATGCATGGAAACTAATAAATGCGGGTCGTGTCTCCGTATGGCCATTCTGTGTTCGTTGATCCGTGTTGATAGTTTCCTTCCAGTTTGCCCGATGTAGTGTTTGTCACACTCTTTGCAGTTAATTTTGTAAATGACATCATTCTGATTGCCTTGATTAACTTTGTCCTTCGGTCTTGAAAGCAATCTTCAAAGTACCTGTTGGTTTGTTGGCTACCAAGATTCTATGTGGTCGCAGCAACCTTGACGTTAGTTCAGATACATTCTTGATGTAAGGAAGCGCTACCCGTTTATCTATGTTTTCCTGCTGTTGTTGCTGCACCCTCTTCTTTAGGCTTCTGATGAAGTTTCTTGGATACCCGTTGTTTTGCAATACCCGGTATAGATGGTTCTCTTCCTTCTTCCTCAATTCTGTCGTGCCGCAGTGTGTTTCGGCCCTATTGAAAAGGCTTTGAATGCAGCTTTTCTTATGGTTCAGTGGATGGTTGCTGTGGTAATTTAATATTTGGTCTGTGTGGGCCTTCTTTCGATATACACATGTCTGAAGTGTTCCGTCAGTGTTTCTTTGGACCAGCACATCTAAGAATTGTAACTGATTGTCTTTTTCGAGTTCAATTGTAAACTTGATATCCTGGAATGTGTTGTTGATTAACTCATGGGTGTCCTGCATGGAATCTCGTTTGATGACGACAAACGTGTCGTCCACGTACCGGATCTATAATGTTGGTTTGATTAACGGTATTATGATGCTCTCCAGTCTTTACATCACAGCTTCTGCAATAAGTCCTGAGATGGGCGATCCCATGGGCGTTCCTTTCAGTTGTTGGTATACTTGCCCATCAAAGTAAAATTAAGTAGTCATGCAGAGTTCCAAGAGTTCCCATATGCTTTCCGGTTTGAGGTTTCCTATTGTGTTCGGTTGATTTCGAAGCAATTCCATCATGGTTTCTTTTGCAAGTTCGTGACTGATCGACGTGAAGAGCGCGGTGACATCAAACGACAGCAGAATTTCATCTGCCTCTATTGTAATACACTTCAGTTTGTTGAGGAATTGTTCAGCATTGATGATGCTTTGTTCAGAGCCGGCAATTAGATGTTTTAATTTCTTCCACATGCATTTTGCCAATTTGTACGATGGGGTTCCTGGCAACGAGACGATTGGACGCAATGGGACTTCGTCTTTGTGCACCTTTGACAGTCCATAGAACCTTGCAATGTTTGTATCCTCAGCTTTCATTTTCCATCGCTCCTGCTTGGTAATCTCACTCGTTGCTTGTAGTTTCTTCAATGCTGTGTTGATTTCAGTACTCAGTTTTGTACTAGGGTCCTGATCTATGGGACGATAGGTGGTCGTGTCGGAAAGGAGTTGTTTGGCTTTTGCAACGTAATCTGGTTTATCCATTATTACTGCCATGCGTCCCTTGTCAGCTGGTAGGATTACAATATTGTCTCCCTTTTGTAGCCTTTTGAGTCCTTCCCGTTCTTCTTTTGCAAGAGTATGTGTGAATTTGTTGCGAGTTATCGCAGAGACAACCGTTTGTCCAATTTGTTGCCGCGATTCTTCTGATAGTCCGTTGGTGTTCAAAACTTGTTCCAGATTCGCCAAGTAACCCTTATATGATGCATCTTTTGCGTTAAAATTTAGTCCTTTGATTAGTATGTTCTCCTCCGTTGTGCTGAGTTGACGGCCACTCTGATAAATACATGCGCACTGACGATGTCACCTAGAGTGGTGACGAAACGTTTGCAGTCAACCTGCCGAGCTCAGCGAACAATCAGAACCAACTAATATCACCAACCTTGACACGAAATGTCCTACCGTAAAGGAATGCGGACAGCCAAGAAAGCAGCAGAGGATGGAGTCCAAACCAGGCCATTTTTCTAATTTGAAACGGTGATTCAGCGAATCAAAACATTTGCTGAATTCAAGGTAACACATTTCTACTAGTACGCCTACAACAAGACATCAAGGTATTTCATCGAGAAAACACAACAGGTTGATAAGGCATCTCTTTTCTTGGCGAACCCATGCAGTTCTGCTCCGATCAAGGTACTAGTACCCAGAGGTTCACAAATTCGATTCGTAATGATCTTCTCTAGACACTTGAGGACGCTAGTCAGACTAACAGGCCTATAGTAATTGGGTGAGGAGTTAGAACCATCCTTATGCATCGCCACTACAACTGCTTTCTTCCAGTTCTGTGGTGTCCTCCCCTCACGAAGTAACAATGTACAACTCAACAATAAGAAGCCAAAATATGTCGACAATCGGCTTGACAATAGCGGGATGTACCTTACTAGGGCCAGGTGATTTGTATGGGTTTAAATCAGTCATAACAGAGAAAACATCTGAAGTAGTTATGACGATTACGTCCATTTTGATTTCGCTTACACGATGCGACGCAACGGTATTGAATACCTGGTGTCCGCTCGATAAACGCAGCAAGTCCTGCGCCTTATCGAGGTCTCCCGCAACCTGGTGCCCATCTACGATTAAATTACCAACTACTTCCCTTAAAAAGGCTTTTGACTGAACGTAGCTGTAATAACGCTTCGGGTTCGTTTTTATGTTTCACGCCAGGCTAAGCCCATAGAAGTATTTAGCCAGCCTCTGCAGTTTGACCGCCAAATTTCGACTTATTTTGCAACTGGGCCACCTGCAAACCACCAGAATCATGGAACCATTTCCATAGAAGTTTCCGCTGTTTCAACGTCCGATCAATACGTCGGTGTGCCACCAGTGAGGTTTATCCGAATGGCGCCTTCTGCACAGGGGAGCGAACTCCTCTAGCAACTGCGTGAGGCCAAAGTTGACCACATGCCACCCCTGTTCTAGCGTGGTCTCTTCTTGCTCAAGAATCCAGGTAATGCGTGCGGCTCGATCCCTCAAAAGCGTGATGTTAATTAGGCTTAGATTCCGCACCAAATGGGGTTTAACAGATAGCCTCGGTATACTAATGGAGAAGGAAAGAATGAAGTGATTGTTCTTACCTATAGCAGTCTTAACATTAACTTCTGACAGGCAACCATACTTAGTGATCCCAACAGCTGGGCAAGAAGAGACGTTCACGCCACGACTTCTAAGCGGAAAATTGACGTGCTACACAATGGCGTTTTGCTGTACCCACCGTATTAAGTCCTCTCCCAAGGAGTCCGCCCAATTGAGAGCATGTTCCCAGTAAGCATGTGGTAAGTTCAGGTCGTTTACGGTCACAAACTTGGTGCAAAAGGAATGGCCCGTTAGTATAAATCACTAAGTTCTTTGTCCTCTCTTCGCGTTCAGGACGGGTTGCGAAATAAAACAATAAATCCAACTTCTACTGATGAGTAGCGAGGATTTTGGTACAATTCACGTACTTCATCGTGGTCACTCGAACAGCAGGCTTAGGCTAGTCTGGAAAAGCACCAGAGGTCGGCGTTTCGACCTTCTGGGTCTCGTCAGTGATGCGCCTCACAGCGGACCCTTTCCGGGTTCTGCCCCCATGACTCCTGGATGCCACCAGCTAGTGCCACTTCGCCATGCATGACAGCCACGG